GGTAATAGATAGTAAAGTAGTAGATAAGTCTTAGTACGATCTACCTATATACTAATCTACCCTTCTACTACTAGAGATTACGTATAGTTTTACTAGTACCTAGCACTTAGGATATAATCTAAGTACGGGTAAAATAGTAGCCGTTTCCTGCGTTTTACTAACTACCTTATTATATAAGTAGGTATTATCCGTAGTGATTAGCTGTAGGCCGTTTCTAGTTCTCTTTCCGGAATATCTTAGGGCCTTCCGGGGCATACCTAAGTATACCGAAACGTACGTAATAACACTACTCCTTAGCGTCCGTAGACGATTAGTTCACGGTTGCTCCTTAAATAACTACGGTCCCCGCGCCTCTTAAGGTCCGTAACATATAGGTTATCTACGGCTGTCTATTTTATAGGGTAGTTAATAGTAATAATATCATCGATATAGAAGAATATAATAATTCCGTTACCGACGAAGAGATAAAGATCTTCCTAGATGATGTAGAGATCTAGGGAGGTAAATACCCGAGAGGCCTTACGTTACTATAGCCTAGGAGACTTCCGTAGGCTATATAGGGCCTTTATAAGCCTCTAGACTCTCTTCTTCTTCCCCTAAGGGAATAGTCTAGGAGGTAGTTCTATATAGATCTCTTTATCTAGTAGGCTATTTAGAAATGCGTTAACGGTGTCGTACTAATAGGTATCTAGGTCGAATATAGCTACTAGTACGAAGACGGACCTCGCTATCTGTGCTACTAACGTTGCTAAGTATTTTTCGTTATTACTAACGGCTTAGAGGTCTCTACGTACGTAGATTCTGGCCTTATACTTTACTAGGAATCTATTACTATTAAATTTATACGTAAAGACCTATTTTAATAGTAAGATCTAGATACCTCGGTCTATTAGGCGGTCGATCTCTTAGTATATCTCTTTTCTATCTAGCGTTTTAATTTCTAGCGATGCTGTAGCGATAAATATATTACGATGTAGATATTTTATTATCTCTAGCTAATTTATAGATATAGGAGGTAAGTCGTCCTAGTGTAGCCGTTAATACGGCTAGGGAGGGTTTAAGCTAGTTATATATACGGCTAATACTCCGTCGTGATTTTTATTAGGGTCTTATATTATTACGAGATAGCTATAACCCTACGGAGCCCTTCTCTAGCGTATACCCGTAACGATATTAGTCTATAAGACTATCCCGTCGATATCTCTAGGCGCTCTTAGTATTATATATTCTTAGAGCTTATCCTAAAGCTATTTATTAGGGGTCTCTTAACGAAATTTAGTTAGAAATACCCCTAGCGGGCTCGCCTCTAGCGGTGTATCCGGTATTAGAGATATAGAGATCTCTGCTAGCTACGACGCTTCCTATATTACTAATAGTGTAGGGGATAGTATCTAATAGACTACCTATCTATCCTTCTAACCGTCCTTCTAAGTTTCTATCGTCTCTTCGGTTAACGTACTCGGCTAAGGGATATCTTATATTAGTAGGGTGTCTTATTCTGCGACTATTGCTTCTTCTACGAGCCTTTCACTATATATATTTAGCTAACTATCTTCCTCTTTATTAAGGCTAATATTCTAAGGTAGGGTATCGATAATATCGTCGGATAGTCTAACCTAAAGCTCTCGGGGATTAAATTTAATATTCTTATTAAATACTACGTCGTACGCTTCCCTAATAGCTCCCCTATACGGAAACTAGATTCGCTATATATTAGAAGCTATATAACCGATGAGATAGCCGATCTCTATACGATCTTCTATCTTAGCTATCCTCGGGACGCCCTAGCGGCGTACGTACGCTCTATAACCGTATATACGGAGGTTCGATAGATTTAGACGGAATTTTGGCCGATTCTAGTCTTAGTATATCGCTTTAACGTATAGAATAATCTATTCGCCGTTAGGTAGCCTAGTAGGCGATCTATTAATAATATAAACCGCTACTATAACTACTTCTAGCTAAAGGTTTCTAGGTAGGCCTAATTCTATAAGAAGCCCTCTAGCTACTCCGATAATTACCCCCCTAGATTATTTACTATAGCTATTCGTTTCCGGCGTTCTAATAACACTATATTCGATAATTATACCTCTATCTAGATAGAAATCGTCTACTATCTTTCCGGACGCTCTCTTATAGTCGCTTTTAAACACCCGGATTATTATTTTTAGCTATATCTCTAGTACAGCGATAAAGTATATAATCGCCGATTAATAGCCGTTCTTTTTTTCGTAAGAAACTATCGTATATAGCCGGATACCCTTAATATATATATAAGTTATCTAGCAGTAGCCGTTATAGGCTATAGTAAGCTAAATAAGGTCGAAATGAATCCTTCTATATCTTCTAAAGATATACTCTCTTACTATAGGTCTCCTAGATATCTATCTCTTAGCTATACTACGCTAACAGACCTTATATCTCTTAGGATTACACTCTATATTATCTATAGTATCTCCCTTAACCTCGATACTATCGACTATCTTAGAGAGCCTCTCGATCTGTTAATTATATATATAGGCGAGTCGTTAATGCTATCGCTTCGGTATAGCGACGGATATAAGGGGTTTTTAGCTATACCTAGGGTAATCTATTATTATCGCTAGAGGAGTGCTCTTAGGCAGTTTCTATCTATCTTAGGTGTTTCCTACGATATAGAGGTTATACCTCTTTTCTAACGCTCTAATAGGCGTTTTATTTTTAATAATAGCGGGGATTTCACTATAGAATTCGAAGCTTTTCTTACTAATACGGCCGAGGGATAGCAGATTCGTATAGAAATTAGGTACGTATAGCGCTTCTATTATTACCTCTCGCTTTTTACCTATCTTTAGGTCTATTAACCGGAGGATGGCTATTCCTCTACCCTTAATAATAGAGTCGCTATTACTAGTTTTAATAGTGAATTCTTCCTCGGTAAGGCTTTCAAAGCTCCCTCGGTAGTTATATATATAGACGTTCGCTCCTAAGTCTAATATCTAAGAGTCCTTAAGGGGATATCTCTTAGCTATTCGGTTAACCTAACGGGATATATTAGCTATATATATAGCTACTCTCCTAATCGATCCCTATATCTCTTCGGTTACTACTAGCTAGGTAATAGCCTAGGTAGTGCCTCTATCCTCTTTAATCTTCTCGATCTTCTCTTAGTCGAATTTACTAAGCTTCTTAATAGCCTTCGCGACTAGTTCTTCCGTCTCGGTTCGTGGCTTCTAGTAGTCTAGCCTAATACTTTCGATAATATAATAGCAGAATCTCTAGGGATAGTTTCTTCCGTATATATAGGGGGTCCTTTTCTTGTTTTTCTAATAATTTTTAGTATCTTACTAACCCTTAGTGTTTCTTTACTTAGGTATTACCTCCGGTTAGCTATCTAGCGTTAATATAGCTAGCTTTCTAGCCCTTTCTTTTCCTAAACGCTCTAGCAGACTTCGTCGTATACGGTATATAGATATAACCTTACTAAAGGTAGGATTCTCTATCTCTAACCTATCACTCTAGGTTAAATAGAAGAGATTATCCTAGACCTAGATAGCTCCGAGGAAGTCTCTAATAGCGAATTTAGCAGGCGTTAGACCGTATAAGATATCTAGTATACCTATAGCTTTAGCTTCTTCGTATAGAGACGTCTAGGCGGTTAACTACTTATCGATAGATATATTATTAGACGGGTACGTTAGTATTTAATACTACTCTCTTCGGAGGTCTTCTATACGGTCGGCTTCTTTCTATATAAACTCCTACCTTAGCTTCACTAACTTCTTACGAGCAGAGATAACGCCTATAAATATATAATAGTGCTCCGCGGCTAACGAACGGGATATAGTATCACTAAACCTATTAAAGGCTCGGGCGGTCCTCGCTCGTTCGGCCTCTTCGCGGTTATATCTATTAAGAATTCGTATATACTTCTTATACTTATTATCGGTAAGGTCGACTTCGTCTATCGTATTCTTATTAATCTTACTAACCGGCGGTAGGGGAGCCTTCTTTAGAAGCTCTTTAATCTCTATATCTATCTTTATAGGGTTAAGATACTCCTAAAGGTCGTTTTCGATGGCTTTAGTTTTAAAGTAACTAATCTAGACCCTCCACTAGGCCTTCGTCCTTAACCGCTAGTCCTATAGGATAGGATAAATTGCTTAAGATTTAGTCTCATTAGATATCTTTATATATATCTTTTGCTGTAATCCTGACGGTATCTCCTCTGGTCTAAGTCCTTATTAATCTCTTCTAGGATTTTATATAGTCGTTTAGGGGTATTCGGCGGTAGGAAGGCTCTTACTATTAAGATATAGAGTAACGGTCTTCGTTGATTATATCTTAATGCTTCAGTGTGTACTCGGGCTTATAACTGACAGAATGGGCTGATTCTGTATAGGCTAGTATGAAAGATGTCCAATAGGACGAGAGATAATTGATTAGATTGATAATGATAGAAAATCAGGGGGATTGCCTGTTGAATAGCTATCCCCTGGCTGTACGGACGTATTTCTGTCCGTGCGGCCGATACTCGGCTATTACAAAGCCTGAGTTTCTCTGTAAGCCAGTATTACATACAAAAACATAAGAAACCTGGGCGCTTGATGAATAAGCCCGTTCTTAGTAGTAAGTTACCACTCCACATATTTCGACACATGCTTCAGTACATGCGGTGCTAAGAGGATTCTAGGGCTATGGTTATATGATATATCGCATATCCGGGACAACCGAGATTATCAAGCGGCCTCAGCTGAAGACCTTATTTTTTCCCCTTGTCTATCAGTTCTGGATGCGACAACAAAGCCTCGGGGGAGGTCCAAATTGAAGGTGAACTGCTCAGGCCTGGAACATTCGCCCAATTTGACAAAACCATGACTTTGAACGCACAGTTGGATTGTCTAGTCGTTTATCTACCGGAGGAAAACTGAATGGCGGACATAATCGATCGAGATATAAGAATTTGATTGCAGGGCTTCTCAATTTAGTTACATCCTCAATCCTTCGCAGTTCCCTGAGAGTCATGTGTATATCAAAGGCATCCTTGTACGTCCAAAATTCGAGGACTCTTCCCTATCCTGCGAATGTAGACCTAATCTAGGTTCCGTTCTCAACCTCCAAGTCGGACATTGTACATGCGCGTGGTAGATCTGGGGTGTGTTACCCATGCTTGGATAAATTGCATTCATGGGGTCGATTTGAGCTACTCCTTCCATAGTCGGGTACTGAGAGCCCACGGTATTCGTCTGGGATGAGTTTCCTATGCTTGGATAAACTGCATTTGTGGGATCGATGTGAGCTACCCCTTCCATAGTCGGGTACTGAGAGCCCACGGTATTCGTCTGGGATGAGTTTCCCATGCTTGGGTAAACTGCATTTGTGGGATCGATGGGAGCCTCTTCCATAGTCGAGAACGCTGCATTCGCGTTGTCAATATGGGGTGTGTCCCCTATGCCTGAGGCGACCGCATTCGTAGGGTAGTTTTGGGACATAATTATCTCGTTTGACCTTTGTGGGCCTCTAAAATCCCCATTCTGAAGTCTAATAACTCGAGCACCTTGTATCTGACACCAATCTGAACATATGTTAGAAAGTGCAAAATCACGGGCTCGAAGACGTACTCATAAGTGAGGCAGATACATCTTCCTGTTGTTCATCGGGTCGAATGGAAGACTCAATCCTATTCCACAATGTACCAAAGATGCGATCCGCTAGGCAGTTCATTGTCGTAATATCGTCCACTTCACGAATCCCGCGCCGCACTAAAGAATCGATTACCTTCTTCCTGGCATCCCCTTTCACTGGAAGCTCTTTCAACATGCTTTCACAATGTCAGCTCAGAGCTTTTCGCAACTTGCTATTTGTTTTCTTTGGCGGCTAATGTCCACCCTTTTCCCGGGTGTTTCAATTGCCAGGCCGCACCGCTTTTACTAGCTTCGTGCTTTCGCTCAGCTGCAGCCGACACAGACCACAGGACAGCGCCAGCAACAGCCAGCCTGGCCTGCCCCAGCCGTCCTGGCCCCGCGATTTGGCTGTATTTGTAACAATGGAACTGAACCTCCCTTGACATTCCTTGCAGTTATATTTTATTGTATATAATTCACACTAGTAGCTTCCTAGAATTCATGCTACTTTTCATGTCGTCCCATGCCGACGGACACCTCCAAAATACACCCATGGCGAAGATTGATGACCCTGCAGAGCAAACACCGCTGCTGGCGCGGCAGTTGCCTTGCCCCTTGCCAGCGACCAAGTCGGAAAGCTATCCCTTCCGCTTTGTAGTGCCGTACGCCTTGGTGCTTGTCGCTGCGGAAATCGGGTCAAGCCTGGTCAATGTATCAATGAGCCAGATCCTCGAGGGCATCCTATGCCAGCAATACCACGGTGTAAACGACCCCATTGGCAATCCGCTGTGTAAGAGTAAAGAGGTGCAGCTGGAGCTGTCTATACTTCAAGGATGGGAGCTGGCCTTTGGGCTTATTCCAGGTCTTCTCACCGGCGTGTTATACGGCATCATCGCCGATGCGTATAGCCGGAGAGTAGTACTGAGCCTCGCGTTCTTTGGCCTTGCTTTGTCTCTAGCTTTTGACATGCTCGTGTGTAAGTTGTCTCTGCGAATTGACGATCTCTGCAGGCTCCATCCGCAAGGTCATTGAGTAAAATGAACACACCGCTCAACGAACTTTATCACTTTTATGCTCTCATGACTGACCTTTGCTTAAACTAGGCCTCTTCTCGTCGCATCTCCCACTGCGCTTGATCTGGGTTGGTGCCCTGCTCACGGCGGTGGGCGGTGGGCCGTTCGTGTGCGCAGCCATGATTTACACCATTGCCAGTGACATCGCGACCGAAGCTCAACGGCAAGTTACTGTCTCTTCCTTTACGAGTCCTTGTATCAAGCGTTATTTTTCTTTTGATAACCGCCGTAATGGAGACAGTCAAATGTGCTAATACGGATTTTAACAGCCCAATCTTATTTTTCTACCTCAGCGCTACGATGATTGCGTGCCAGCTCATTGGCGCGCCACTGGCGTACCTTGCTATGGGCCGCTCAGCTTGGTTCACCATATCTTTGGGCCTATTCTGCTTAATAGCATCTTTTATCGGCTCTCTCATCTCGCCCGAGACTTTGGGCATCAAGACGCGGACTCCGCCTGCGCGCGGCGACAGTACATGCAACGAATCGTTGCCGGGAACCGGTAACGATACCGCGGGCGGCTCACACCATCGTCTCGAGGTTATAACCTTGATCAAGGAAGCTCGAGAGTCACTATGTCAGCTTTTTGGGGAGAACAAAAGACTGGGTCTTTTCCTAGTCACGGTGCTCTTCACCAACCTGGGCACGTACATGCCGCTCATGACTTTAATGTTAAATCAATATGCCACGAAAAAGTTCCCATGGTCGTGGTCTGAGGTATGCGCTTCCCGAAAACAAACAATTACCGCGAAATAATCCATTAACGCTTACTAGGCGGGTCTGTTATCCAGTGTTAGTGCTGGTGTGAAGCTGCTCCTGATCCTCGTCATCCTTCCGCGCTTGAGCCGCGTTATGCTCTACAAGTTTGCGCTTACACCACTATCTAAAAATTTGATTATCGTGCGATCAAGCATAGTATTCCTTATTGCAGGAACATTCACTATAGGTGTTGCCAGCCACCCAAGCATGCTTCTTGCTGGTCTTGTGGTCCATGCCTTAGGTTGGGGATACGGACCAGCTCTGCGAGATCTGCTAGCATTGCTGACTAGGGATGATCAAATTGGACTTCTATTCACGGTAATGGGAATTCTTGACAATATCGGTATGTTAATCGCCGGCCCATTGATGGCCGCCGCCTTCCGACTGGGTTTGGCTTGGGGGGTTCCTGGATTGGGCTACCATTCATTGCCGCAGCATGCTTGCTTGCAAGCGCGGCAGCGGTTTTATTTAGTGTACGCGTCGAAGAGAAAAGGTGAATACAGCATGGATGCGCGGAGACCTTTAAGATAAGTTATTGTTGTAAAATAGAGAAAATGGTAGGCAAGAATAAACAATTAAAACTTAGGAAAAGAAATTGAAATCCTTGCGTCGTTTGCGTACTGGTAGGTAGGCGCATGCTCCATCCAACACAATTGGTTATAGTGATGAGTTATCGGCCGGTCTCAGCTGTGCAATGTATATAAAGCTTTCACCCCACCCACTCTATGGACAAACCCTTTTTTTTTCTTATGCATCTTCCCTCCAACTTGTTATTCTAGCTCCGACTCGTTTGACAGCATTCAATCACGGTCGAAGAATTGGTCGCAACCATGTTACTGGACTCGGCATTTGCGCAGGCACCTGCATGGGTGCTAACTTGCTCTGTGGTGGCATTTTACGTATGTAACCTGATACCCTTTTCCCTTGTTTTTATTTAGAACTTCAAAAACTGAGATTCGGTAAGCTCGTCGCCGTCGCCATCTACCGCCTAACATTGCACCCGCTTGCGCGATATCCCGGACCTCTCCTGTGGAAGCTGTCGGTTTGGCCTACTGTCTTTCTGTGCCGGAGTGGCAAGCGACATCTTCAGATCTTTGCAGCTCACAAGAAATACGGTTCCGTTGTCCGCATCGGCCCTAATATGCTCTCGTTCGATTCAAGCTCGTCTGTGTCAGCTATCTACGGCCCAAGACACGGCAACATGGTCAAGTCTGACTTTCATCTCACGCTTGACGCAACCATTTCAACCCCGAGCCTCTTTGCCATTGTGGATAAGGAGAAGCACGCCTTCAGACGGCGAGTGATCATGCAAGCATTTACAGAAAATGCTATGCTGGATGCTAGCGAATTCTACATTGAGCATACCAAGGTTCTTGTAAAGGAGCTCCAGCGCAAGGTTCAGGATGGGTGGGCCAAAGCTAATATCGGCGAATACGCCGTCTGGTGGACGCTAGATGTTATGGGTGCTCTTTCCTTGGGCAAGACGTTCAACTGTTTGACAGAGTCAACCTATCGGCATGGCATACCTATGATGAGGAATGGCATCCGATACACGTATTGGGTAAGTTGAAGCGCGATCAGGCTCAAACACGACCAGTGTATCTAATATAATAACAGGCAGGTCATTTGCCCTTTAGAAAGGCGATCGACTACATGCTTGCAAGCCCGATTTTGTCGCGTTTTGGTGGCCAAAGTGCACTCGACAACCAGAATTATTTCGACTTTTGCGAGCTCGCGATTCAGGAACGGATACAGGACGAAACGGATGCGATCGCTGCCGGGGTTAAAATCGAGGAAAGGCGGAAGGACTACATTCATCATCTACTCAAAGCGGTCGATCCCGAGACAGGAAATCAACTTTCCTATAATGAGTTGAAATCGGACGCCAGTCTACTCCTCGCCGCCGGCTCCGACACCATGTCGAACACCATTGCAGCGTTCATGTTCTATATGGCACGTCACCAGCGGTGCAGAGATTTGGTTACCACCGAAATCAGGGAAAAGTTTGCTGATCCAGCAGAGATCCGGTATGGGCCTGTTCTCAGCTCTTGCACCTACCTCGACGCCTGTATCAATGAGGTTATGCGCATTGCGGTGCCCGCTGCCGTCAGTCCATCCGAGAGAGTCACTACTGGGGAGGGCATTGTCGTCGACGGCAACTACTTTCCAGCCGGTATCACAATGGGAACGAGTTTTTATGCTCTCAATCTTAACGAGGCAGTTCATCGAGACGCGTTCAAGTTCTGGCCAGAGAGATGGCTCGTGGATGAGACTGGCAAGGCCGGCACCTCGAAGGAAGAAGTGCAGAAAACGAACCAGGCATTCTTTCCCTTCTCCGCAGGCCACCGGCGATGCGTTGGGAGAATTTTGGCGGCGCGCACTTTGAGAATGGTTTTGGCGAATTTACTTTGGCATTTTGACGTCCGATGATGATGATGATGATGATGATAACTCTATTAACCTAATGCAGCCCAGCTAGTGCGCAGTGGCTATGTAGGCGCTTCCTCCGGCGGAAGCAAGAGCTAACCGAACGCCCCCGAAACGCAGTAGATAGTAAATACAAAGGGAAACGGCGTTTTACCAAACAAATGCAGCTGAATATCAGCCCATTACAGTACCCATACACCCTCAATAATCAATCCCACTATTTTCCTCCCTCACTTCGCCCTCTCTCGCCTGCGTCGCTATGTATCACCTTCTTCCACTTCCGGCAGCGTATATGCAGCTGCTTGCTTCTTTCGATTGATGTTTGCTGGCCACATAAGCTGTTCTAGTCAACCAGAGTTGACTCGACCAGTCGGTGTAGCGTATTTAGTTATAATCGTCCCAGCCCGTCTTAGGTTGAGCTAGGGTTTCGGCGGTTATATTGCATATCGTCTTCGCCGCCTGCTCCCCTGCTAGATTCGCTGTCTCTGGCCGTTATTTCGTCGTCTTCTAGTTCCGAGTTAGGGTCAGGATCTAGCGTAGTGTTAGTATCTAGCTCAGCGTTAGTATCTAGCTCCGCGTTAGGGTCTGGCTCTTCGTTAGCAACTGGCTCTGGTTCGATCTCCGTCTGCCGGAATTAGCCTAGGAGACCTATTTATAATATAAATTCGGCTACGTAGCGGGTAGCCTACGGATAGGAGACGATCGCTTCGTAGTTAGCGGTCGCTCTAAGATCTATCCGTGCCTAGATCTTTTCTAGCATCTCGTAACGCTGCTTAGTGTATAACGGACACTATATAAGGATGTGTCTCGGTGTTTAAGACCCCTCCTCGTAGTAACACTGGTCAGAATTATAAGCGCTAATCTTATATAAGAAATGGTTTAATGCGATACGCATCGAACGTATTTAGATTAACACCGACGTATAGTGCTTAGGTAGAGATTTGTATAGCTCTAAGGCTTTCTTATCCGGCTTCGGGAGTAACCGTTTAGTCGGTTTCCCTATCTTTTCGCGGTCCTACTTAGTAGCCTAGCGCTGCTTAATCCGCCGCCGTATACGGCCTTTAGCTAGGCTAGCTAGTAGGAATCGAGGCTAGTCGGATATAGGTTAATCCGAGCCGTTCCCGATAGCCCTACTAGTCGCCGCTAACTTTACTTTAACGTCCGCCGTCTTATTGCTAGGCACGCCTACGTATACGGGGATCTAACGGATCTCGACGGGAATCTTATCGGACGTAGGCGTATAAACGGGTCGGAGGGCTTATATATAATTATAAATTTAAGAGAGTACGTATTAGCCGGAGGACCGCTTAGGATTTCGTACTACCTAGATAGTAGCCTAGTAATTAGAGAAAATGACTGTCTACTTATAGGTCTAGAGCTTAGCGATCGCTATCTCGATGCTATTAAGCTCCGTAATATATACGATAGACTCCTAGAGAGTCCCTAGGTATCGTTATAGGAAGATACCGTCCCTTAGGGCGACGGCGGAGGCGCCGACCTAGCCCTTATATCTACTTCTATCCGTGAAGGATAGAACTATCGGGCTACAGTTCTGTCCTATCGGCCTTCCTCCTCCTTCCTCTTATATTATAGTCATAAGGCTCTCCTAGAAGAGAGACTCTGTCTCGATTCGGTTATGCGAGGCTCGCGTAGCCTCTGTATCTTTAATTACGTATAGGATCCGTGTCTCCTACGGTAATAGAACGAACGCTTTACGGGTCTCCTAGACCCCCGGGATATTCAGGATTCCTTTTAGTTTCTACCGGTAGGCTTCTAGTGGTCCCTATCCTCTACGCTTAGTAGCCTTAGTCGTACGCTTATAGCGTAGGCATTCCGGTTAGGCCCATTTTGGCCCTGTTTAGATCCGGATGGCGGTTTCCTCGATTATTTATTCCATTTAGAGCTTAATAGGTAGCAAGAATAGTTCTATATTAAGCGCGGCTGCGCTGGTTAACTTAAATGCGCCGGAGATCAAGAGGGCGGTGCGTCGCTGGATCTTGGTGTATTCGTTAGTGATCTTTAGCCGTTCTCTATATAGCATCGTTCTTGCCTTGGGGTAATACTACGCGGTAACGCCGTATAACATTTATAGGACTACTACCGCTTAGTAGACCCGCCGCATAGCGTAGAGAGATGTACCCTAGGTGGAGCCAGTGATAGCCCGGAGGGCCTCGAGGCTCCCGTTGGCCTTAGCGAGTAGTTTTTGGCGATGTGTACTAAATATAAGATGCTTGTCGAGCTAAATGCCGAGATATTTAGCCTGTTCAACTGGTTGGATCGTCTGAGTAGCGGTTTGCACAGCCATCTAGTCATGGCCGGTAGGGAATGTATGGTCGATGTTATATATGTTAAAGTCGCTATCTTCTGGCTGGATAATTCGATATTAGTCGGCTGTGGGTTGGTCTTGAATTTAGGGGTTCCGAAAGTGAATGAGTTCAAATTTCTCTGGTATAAACTTGGCCGCATGTCGATCGGCCTAGACGTTGGCCTTAGTTAATACGCCTTCTAGTAGTTATACGTTTCGGTAGTAAGACTCAGAGATAGCGATAGTAGCTACATCGTCTACCTACCTAATTCCTCGCACGTAATTATCCTTGCTTATGCCCTTTATGTACGTAAGGATGAGAGGGGTATTAAAGATTAGGAAGATGATAGGCGACAGCGGTAATCCCTAGGGGATCCCTGTTGGTGTAAGGAAGATATCTGAGGTATAGCTAATTAGTAGCCTAATGCGTGTCGAGCGGCTAGTCAAGAAAGACTCTAGCTAAGCGGCGAAATAGCCTAGTCCTAGCCTACGGAGGTTATAAAGTAGTCGTTAGTAGGAAACGTTATCGTATACGCCGGTAACGTCTAAAAACAGCGCAGAGACTACCCGGTCGTATCCCTATACGGTATATACTATATCAAGGATTATCTATATAGTATAGTCGACACTAATACCTTTCCTTCTATCTAGATAGGTCCTTAGTAGGAGCTAGTGTTCCTCTACTGCCTACGTAATACGAGCAGCGACGACTGACTCTAGTACCTTACCGAGGGTATTTAGTAGGGCGATTAGGCGCTAGGACTTTAGTTTACGGAAGTCTCTTAGTCCTCCCTTTAGTAGCATAACGGTAATCGAGTGCTAGAAGTAGCGAGGATTAAAGCCCGTTTGTATATATACGTCGAAGATAGCTATTAGAGTGGCTACGAACTCGTAGCTATCTACTAAGATCTTCTATATATAGTTCGGGATTATATCCTCGCTAGGTGCTTTATTAGGCGGTGTTCTCTTAATAGCGTCCTTGACCTCCTATTAGGTAATGATAGGGAAGTCTAGCTATTTCGGTAAGTACGTATTAGGGATGTTAGAGAGGTCGGCCTCCGGTAGCTAAGGAAAGAACGCCTAGCGGAGGGTCTCTGCTTTCTACTGGTTCGTCTCTGCCGGGCCGTCTCTCCCGTTAAGTGTTAGGACGTTACGGTAGGCCGGCTGGTCGCGTATATGCGCCTATTTAGAGACCTTCTAGAGACCGTAGGGACTATCTTCTACTATCCGTCTTACCTAGCTACGGAAGCCGTTTCTTAGAGCCCTATTAATCATCTTCCCTTTCTTATTCTTTAGTTCTTTATATTCGTTCTAGTCCTCCTCCGTTACGCTATCCCTCTTATATCGACGGAACGCGTAGCGTATCTCTTTAATAGCCTCGGTATACTTAGGGGTCTACTTAGGCTAAGACTATTCGGATAGTCTAGCGAAGGGTATAGACGCCTAGATGCCTTATTAGACGATACGTATAAGGTAGTCGGTAGCGTCGTCGATCTATTACGGGGTTTGGAGGCTATTACTATTACTACTGATTTAATATAGGTTTAGTTCGATAAATTTCAGAAACTTCTCTACGTCTATCGCCTTCTAGTTCCTCTGCGGGTTTTCCTCGGCTAGGATAGGCGAGATGTCCGTTATAGTGTATATAGGGAGGTGATCCGAGTCGGTATACACTTTCTCCGTTACCGTATAGCTTACTAGGCGTATACGTAGGTTAGCCGTAGCTAAAACTAAGTCGATAGTCGTTGCTGAGTCCTTATTACGCCTAGTGATTATACCCGGGGGTAGCTACGGATCTAACGCGGCGACGGCTATTAGGTCGAGTAGCTTATCGGCTTTAGGCTCTAGCTGTTAGACCCTATCGCCTCCCTATACTGGGTGGTATAGGTTATAGTTACCTATAATTAGGTAAGAGACGCCCTTCTAACGTTCTCTAGCTAATAGTATAAGTTCTTTTAATAGATCTAAGGCTCCCTAGCTGCCCCTCTCGTTATATAGATTAAATAGCCGAAGCTCTTCGCCGTCGACTAGCGTCATCCGGAGCTCCTGTAGGTCGCAGGAGTAGATAACGTAGGTATACTCGCCTAGTTTCTTTGATATAAATATATAGACGCGTACACGAGCTGCTTCGACGGGTAGGCTCGGGTCTGTCGGGGGTCGGAGGAGGTTATAGGTACGTTAGTAGGGCCGGTAAGTGTCGTCTTTAAATTCTAACTTCTATGGCTCTTAGATAGCGATAATATCTACTAAGAGAACCTCCGGGTCCCTCAGAAACTGAGCTATTACCTTATCTTTCTGTCGGTTTACGTTATATTAGTATATTTTAAGTTCTCTTAGTGTGTATTATTGCCGATTATACTAATTTATTAACGTTTAGACGGGGCTAGTTTCCTCGGGGTTTTCTGCGCTCCTAGCTTTTCCTTTTAGCGGTTTTTACCGTATAGCTTCTTCCGCTTCCTACTACTTATCTCTAGTAGCGAGCTAGGTCGATCCGGTAGCGATAGTACCGATGATAGCGATAACGGTTAGAACTCCTAGTTAGATAGCTATTCCGGTAGGGAAGAGAGGGAGGATATCGACGGTTCGTTAGTATTATATAGTACTAACTAGCCTTTAGGTTCTTGTATATCGCCCTCGGCTTCGGACGTTAATTCTGCCCTTCGCCGGTTTACGTCCTCGATTAGTTTCGATATCCTTACTGACCTTCTGCTGCTCGAGTCCCCTAACTGGGAGTCCCCGGACCGTTTTCCTCCGCTGGTTAATTATGATTTCTTTTCCTCTACGGCCTTTATATAGGTAGTACGTACCTTAGCGGTTCGCTCTCTGGCTGCTTCGGATTTAGATAATATAGGAGGGAAGGTTCGGTAAAAGACTAGTTAGTGCCGTATAACGCTATCGCTCGGCCCGAATTAGTAGTTATTAAGTGATTTAAGCGAGATTAAGGGGATTATAGGGCGAATCTATAAGGGTTTAGGTATAAGTTCCTCTCTAGGTTCTTCCTCTCTAGCTTCTTTCTCCCTAGCCTCCTCTACTCTGGCCTTGCCTGCTCTAGCCTTTTCTGCCCCTATATCGGTCGAGTTTAATACGGTATAGGCTTCCGTAGCCTCTTCTGTTCCTGCCTCCGTTGAATTTAGCTCGGGGTAGGCTTGTGTAGGTTTAGAGGTAGGTTCTTCCTCGGCCTTATCTACCCTAGTATCTATCGAATCTGACGGTTTTTATCCTTATTTTATACTATTATTTACCGGAGCCGTTATCGACTTAGTGTCGGTAGCTGTTACCGGCTTACTAGCTATCTTGGTTTTATTCTTTATAGTCTTGGTGGTTTTAGTAGCCGCCGCCTTAGTAACCGGCGTAGCTACGTTTTAGGCGGATCGAGATAGGATAGGACCGGTATCCTGCGAGCCTCCGTTATTAGGCTATACGGCTAGTATATCGCTACTCGTACCGCTAAGCTCTTCGCTAGATAAGCTTTAGGGGGTTCCCTATAAGCTAACGGAGGAGGGCTACAGGTTCGCCGGTAGCTATCGGATGCTAAACGGCGCAGGGACTAGATGAAGCAGGGACTAGATGAAATCTTCCCCGGTATTTAGCTCGTTTATTTATCCGCTCGACCTCCTAGACACGAAGCTAATAGTCCTAACTCTATATAGTATATACGCCTTCGTAGTTAGTATATTTATGTTTTTCGCGTATATCCTTCGAAGGGTAATCCCGAGACTGATAGCCCTCCGTATAGTATATATATCTGATAGGTTAGGAATAGGCGGTTCCTATATATCTAAACTTTTAATAGTTAAAGTACTAGCGTAGCCGAGACTCTCGATTGTATAAGACCGCTATTAGGTTATTACAGTCCTAGAGGACTCCGTAGCTGATAGCCGTATTTATAAGGACCGGTGAGGTAAACTCGAGGACGAGAGAGCCGCTCTTACCCGACGGGGTCTTAAGCTAGTAGATCTTAGCGATCTCTGTATCTCCCTAGAACTAAATATTCTCTACTAGTAAATCCTTAATTACCTCCTCCTACGGTAGGTCCTCCGACGCCCGGTTAATTCTTAAAGAGCGTACGTTAACGTCGTGAACCACTACTCCCTACGTTAGTAGGTAGACGAAGGTAGTCTTATAGAGCCTTTTAGTCTACTTATTACGGTAAATCCGTAGGATCTCTGCCTCCTTTACGTCGCGTACGGTAAACCGGATATCCCCCGATTTAAGCTATCGGGACGCTAGGATCATTACCTAGGCGAGGGCGGGTGTCGGATTACGAGGGGACTGTACGGCTTTAGCCCTAGCTTAGTTGGTATACTTAGTGAGCTCTGCTGGCGTCAGACGGCGGAAGACGCCTACTTATGCCCGATCTCTAAGGTACACTATAACCTCTCGGTTACGTACGACGTCCGAAGCTCGTACGGGCGCAGAATCGGACGAGTTAGGGGAGGAGGATTGGTAGTATACGGGCGTAGGCGCTCTTCTGGCCTGTTTAGCGAAGGATCTAACGGTCTACTTCGCTAGCGGTTCTACTGCCGTCTTAATATCCTATATATCTTTACGGATGGCTGCGAGTTCAGCCTACCAGTCCGTCTGTAACGGTGTCAATAGGAGGTCCTTGGTGAGCGCCTCTATGCGCTTAAGGAAGTCGGCGAGCTTAGAATACTGGGATTCCGGTGCCTTTACCCCATTCTGCTTACTGCGCAGTGCTTTTAACAGTGCTTATGCATCATGATTGGCGTTCAGTACGCGCTCACGGTTCGATGGCAGAGATTTCGATGGGCCTCCGGGCGCCCCTAACGGGACAGGCCCAACACCCTTTTACGCGCGCACCACCATGATACTAGCCTGACGGGGTCAATGCTAGTATCAAAGTGTAGCGCAGGGAGTTAGATGAAATTTGCCGTGGTCTGTTACTCGCTAACTGGTCTGGTTCCTGAGATATTTCAAAAATTCAATTTAGCGCTGGAGTTGTTGTTTTTTTTATTTTTTTTTTTTGACGTCCGTGTTCCAGAGCACTTGGAGGACAATGAGCCAAGTGGCGAAGAGGGAAACACTGGATTGTTTGCGATTGAAGATGCCTTGATTACGATCACAGAAGGCCCTGTTGTAGAGCTGAAGGCTCGTAGCACATAGTGGCAAGGCTAGTTTGCCGTGGGAAATGCGCATGCCAGAAGTACCATGGAATAAAAAAACCATAGTAGAAGAAAACAATGCCAAAAAGATCGATTCTTAACTTGGAGAGGTCGGAATCAACATGTATTCTTGTACTGCTCAATATCTAGCTATCTAAAGAGACCGATAGATACCAGGATTTAGGTATGAAGTCAACGCCAAAGACCCATCTTTTTGGAATGCCACTGCAATATACGTCTGAAAACGATGGCCTTCTTCTCTGTTCAGCTCGCTAAACTGGTTTAGAGTCTTTCGGAAGCCTTCAACGTGCTGCCCACGATTTTTGAGCTCCAGGTATTTGCACAGCCCAGTAGCGACGCTCTCATCCGACGAACCGTATCGGAGCGCAGGGACGTATAGTTTTACAGTGGGGAGAGCGGACCCGGGCGCGATGTCGAAGTAATAAGTAAATCTGCCGTATAGATCAAACGGATGAGCGAGTGACTCGTCAAAAGCCTGTTTGATGCTAAAGTCAATTCCAGCAGGGTCCGATGCGCTTTCACCCAGTAGCAAAGGCAGCAGCAGCTTGAGTTCCTCGACGCCCTTGCCAATGTTTTGAATCCTCTGGCCCAGAGACATGATAGAGACGATGGATTCCAGAGATGCCTCCGAGCTGCTAGCGTACAGCTTGAGGCGCGACTTTGCTGGGTCGACGCAGTCAATGGCCAGCATGTCCGGGCTCATTGTACGACCGATGGGGTCACTGGACACGTATTCGAATACAGCATCCGCAGCCTCAATCTTTTCACCGACGGCGGCGCGAATGGCATTTCCAAATGTGGTAAACGTGGGCGGTCCCTGGGACTCCGGGTCGCAGGCCGGAAGGAAGTACACCTTGGGCACGATTCCCTCTGCCACATGCTCAAAGGCAATGAAGGTGCTCGAAGGCGGCGCCTCTGGGTTTTCAGTGGCAGGTTGGCATCTGCTGATTTGCAAGGTATCGGCAAGTTTGTAGAACCATGTCAGGTCCATCGCAGGGAGTAGAGGAACCAGCTGCTCAACTAGGGCCTTGGTGGCCAGGTAGTTGTAAGGGTCGCTCGAGGTTCCGGTTTGGGGACCGATGGCCTCGATGCAATACCTGACTTCGGGGCCGTGGGAACCGTCTGCGTTCCATTTCCAGCTGTGCTCGACGGGAGACCCGTCGTTGGTGAGTAGGCTGCGCCAGCGTGTCTCCCAACCAGGATCGGCTGGAGTCTGGAGTTTACCCAAGGAAGGAACGACTTGAGTGTAGAAGAAGAGGATGACTTCTAGTTGCTTTTCGGGGCTATACTGGGCATTGTGCGCCAGCATGGCAAGCTGGGCCCCGACGAGCTCCCACCATGGTTGCGAAGCGGCCGTGGTGGAAAGCCACTTCGAGGTGACTTCCCATGTTGGAATCACGCAGGCCTCAGTGGAAAAGTTCTTAGAATGCGTCATGGTATTGGATCGACGCTTGTTGATTATACTTAATGGATTTATAGTCAAGAGGAGAAGGAAGCTGTGTTATGCTCCAGTGTCACGGAGCAGGGAGCGCCAGATTAATATAATAATCAAGAAGGTGTGTGCTCCCACATGGACGCGGTTTATTTTCTACAAAGTCCCCAAATCCAGTTTCTATCATGGGCCTCGAACATCAGTTTGTGACTGCGTTGTATTCAGCAAGCCATCAGGCTTTGCCATGCCATACCGTCGATATTTGGCACCCTCTTGGCGATCCGCCTGGTGCTGACGATGGCCTCTGGATCATGTATGGCTTTGATATGAAGAGATACAGAAGCTCAGACGAGTCAAATCTAACCTGTTTATAGCTTCATTCACGGTGGTGCATGGCGCGATCCATCAATCACGTCCCAATTTGCGCATACCGCAGTGTCGAAGCTCTGCCGTTCAGGAGGGCAAGCCGGCATTGCTGGAATTGCCTCTATAAACTATCGTCTTTCGCCCTCCGATCGTCACCCGGCAAAGGCAAATGATCCATGCCGCCAAGCCAAGCACCCAGATCATCTCGTTGATGTCGTTGCTGCGATTCACTACTTGCAAGAACGGTTTCAATTTGGGGACAGATACATTATGATTGGTCACTCTTGTGGTGCTGCCCTAGCTTTCCAGACGCTTCAGTGGCAAGCGAGGAATCCATCTCCTGGGTTTTCTGAACCGCGCGCCATAGTCGGTGTAGCAGGTATCTACGATTTTCCATTGTTGCGCAGCTTGGACCCGAAACCTCCTACTGTTCAAAACTTTTTGACTGCTGCGTTTGGACCTGAGGAACAGATATGGCTCGAGCAGAGTCCCGTGAATAGCGACTATGAGGAAATATGGTCATCAGGAATGGCTGTGATCCTTGCTAGATGTGCGGATGATGAATATGTTTCGCCTCAGCAGCAAGTTCGAATGAATGAGTCTCTTGCGACGTGGGCTTCAAACCGAAGCGAGAGAGTCCTAAAGATGGTGATGCTGGATGGTGGGCATGACAATCCTTGGGTTCATGGGAAAGGCCTAGTCGAGTGTGTAGAAGCTACTCTAGCATGTTTGGCGTCAGTTGAAAAATAATAAGCCATGTATACCGGCTCTTGTTTATAATTTATTACGCGTCCAACACCTGTTCCGTATATTTCCACAGCTTCGAGGCCAAACTCGCATCCTCTGCGTGTGGCGCCGGCCGAGAGACGGCGCAATCCTCCAGGTAAGCGCCGGCGCAGTCTGTGCGTTACAAATTATCAGCGACGATTTGAGGTTTTAGTATAGGGAGTAGCTGACCGTTCAAATTAGGTGCAAGTGCTGCAAATAAAACTGTGGATGCGCCCTCTGTTGCTGTCTTCGTAGGCAGCGACGCGAGAATATGATCAACATCGTCGGAAGGCATATGCCTCCACAAATTCGTTCTGATAACTATTCATCCATTAGCCGCAGCATTCTCATTAAAGGGTTGAGTCCTCGCGCTTACTTCCCGGGTTCACAGAAAATGCTTGAACCGAATTGCTTAGTGCACCATGCGCAATGGCCTTGGCATGCAGTATAGTGGCAGTTTTCGACTGTGCATATGCAACGACGGGACTATAACCGCATGTCCAAGGCACCCCGATAGCCTCGCTTGCATCTTTAGATGGTTCCTCGGCAGCCGGCAGTGTGTTGGACCCGATAAAATTGGGGTCCGAAAGCCGGAAGGGGGAGACCATGTGCGTGCTGCTCGCGACGTTGACAATGCGTCCCTTGGCTGCTGCTAGAGGCTCCGCCAGTAGACGTGCAAGCAGAAATGGCCCCATGTAGTTGACGGCGAGATGTAGCTCAAATTTGTCTTCAGTGAGCGTGTGTTCGGGCACGCACATTACACCGGCGTTGTTGATGAGGACATCAACGGCGTTGGAGGATATGAGCTTAATATGCGCTGCGGCCTTTCTCACCGAACGGAACGAAGCAAGGTCCAGTTCGACAACCGACACCTTGAGTGCCGGGCATTGTTGCAAAACTGCAGCAGTGACTGCCTGTGCTTTGCTGGGAGTCCTCGCCGTGAGTATGAGATGATGGGGACGTTGCGTTGCGAGTGCTGCGCAAAGAGCCTCACCTAGACCACCCGGACTAATGCCAGTGATTACAACTGCAAAGCGACCATGTTAATATTTCCTTCATTACTGTTTTTTCGTACTATGCTTTTGTTTATGAAATAAACAAAGCATAACGACAGGCGCATACCGGTTTTTCCGTGGATTTGCTCCCGAAAAAGCGATGCCACGTCGGTCGCGGTCGAAGACTTGTTCAAGTGACGAGAATCCATGCTAAATCACAAACGAACTGATTATACAGGAAGGATGGGGCATACGGCGTGGGTGGGTGGCCGGTTGAGACGAGGACAGGCGCACTGAATTTAATAACTGCAGCACGCAGACTACAAAACAACATGATGGCTATCAGCAATCTAGAAACAAAGCTGGCGAACGCCAATACGGAAACATCTCCCACTCTTGTGAGCTGCGCTACCCAGGCTTTCCTTGGTGCGGATCAACCAAATTCAAAATAGGGATTAGCGCCATCTACGGTGTTCGGGGTGTTGATGAGTGGCGCTCGTGCCGCTCATTGTTAGTGGCAGGCAAGGTGTGTGAAAATGACCGAGACCACCACTGTTAGTACATAGCGCCCTCCTTCGCAAGCCAGTTAACAACGACGACGACAATAATAACAATAATGGCAACAATAACAACGACAGCAGCAATAACAGGATAATAGCTAGCTACTGTCTATATACTTTCTTACTGGTAAGTTATTCTCACGTAAAAATGGCGAAAACAGTGGTCTAGTTTTCACCCCGCATGGTAGGCTAGTGGCTCACAGGCGGGTGGCCCCTATGAGACATGCAATCTGCGGGAAAACTGCGTATGAAAGGAGGTCACTGTACTTCGTAACCACTCATTAGATATTCTCGTATGTGGAAGAGCAAGGATTGCCACCATTCGCCATTGTACCAAACTTGAGCGTTGCAATCACCATTTGTCAGCTCGAATCCATTATAACATGACATCCGGGTGCCGGCCAGTAACATGGCATGGCCTTTCTGCACAGGATAGTTGAATTGGCCTTGTCACGTGGCAACCTGGCCTTGATGATGGCATGTTGGCATGTTGGCCCTGACCTAACATAACAATCGTCGCAACCTCAACCCGCACGTATTCACAGGCAGTACAGGTATTGTGTGCTGCATTCAAGCTGTATATAAGCTGTAGCAATTGATCCATAAACTTATAGCGACGCAATTGACGAATACAGCTGCCAATGCCTCCCATTATTCACTGTGTTCGACACGGACAGGGCGAGCATAACCTGTCCCATGACAATCACAACATGCCCGATCCCTCGCTGACGACGCTTGGCGAGGAGCAATCACGAAACATTGCCGAGAATTACCGTGGAGTGTTTGAAGGCTCGGACCTGATTCTCGCGTCGCCGCTCCGGCGAACCATCTCGACCGCGCTCTTCGCCTTCCAACCAATCCTGGACGGCGGCAAAAAGGTCGTCGCCTGGCCAGACCTTCAAGAGGCCAGCGATCTGCCCTGCGATACAGGAAGCGACGTCGCAAAGCTGCATGCAGAGTTTGGTTCTTCGCCGGTAGATCTAACACTCGTCGTGCCCGGGTGGGAAATCAAGGTAAGGAGAGCTTAGAATGGAGGTCCCATAACCATAACTACCGCCACCACATTGTTATACGGCATGAGATTAATCCCATTGTTTCCTGTTAGACGGCAGAATCAGCCGCAGATTCAACCTCTCTTCTAGCCAGAGCAGCAAAGGCCCGTGCTTGGTTGGCGCAGCGGTCCGAGAAAGAAGTTGTGCTGGTGTCCCACGGGTGCTTTTTGCACTTCCTCACCGATGAATGGGTCGACTCGACATGCTCGCATAGTAAGTCTATGACCATATCGCGAACAGAACACGCAGATACCAACCGTATTCACCCGGGATATGCAGTGACCAGCTGGAAGAATACGGAGCTGCGATCTTACACGTTTGTTGACGGTGGCGAGTACGGCCTGCACATGGAAGAGACCCCAGAGTCCCGGCAACGACGCGGGCTGACGCCGCGGGGGCCAACGCCAGCCGAGCGGCTCCGGCTCCGTGATGAATCGATCCAAAATTGGATTAAATGGGGTGTCATTTCATAAACATGCCCATGAGTCTGTGGGCTGGTGCTTGTTTCACTGTGTGGTCAAATAGACCTCATGTCGCTTCTATGCCTCCACTTATTCCGTATCGCCTGTTATTGGATAGCATTACAATGGCGACAAGACGCCGTGGGGGGGGCTCGACCGTTTCCCGCACTGCTACTCTGTAGTGCGTAAGCAAAACCGGCGACGAGGTATTTCCGACCCATGCACAGTCTAGATCTTCGTTATTATTATTGTTATTTTCGTGAAGTCCTCACCAGTAGACGTGGCCGTCGTTGTGCGCTTATTTCCTGCTGGAGCACTTCAGCAAACAATCTCGGCTGCGCCTGCACAAATTCGAAATAAAAGTTATTTGATCAAGTGCATGGGTATTCTATATCTGTCATTATTAATTTTCATGTTTTTATTTTATTTATAAATGCCGATTTCTACTGCCAATACGAGAATTGCCGTCTCGGCGCTTCTGTAGGGTAAGGTGGTAACGACTGTATCTTGCGAGGTATACCAGTCACACAGAATGACTAAATTGACCGATCAGATCAGGTGGATGTACCGCTGCTGGAAAATGCCTAGCGTGTGTTGGATCGCTCCAAAAGCTGGCCGTGGTTGGTGAGATAGCAAGCAAATCACCCTCCAGCACTCCGCACCGAGCGGGCGCAGCACAATGGTCTTTGCATAGCTGGCAATCTACGAGTCCAACGACAAATGTCGCGTCTCGATCAGTGAACCCCTACTGACGGCTCCTTTATCTTACTCTTTCCGCCATTGTCGCGCATAGAGAGACTCTTTGAAATTACACATCTTCTTCTAATGGAGAAGGACGACCACCCACTGTCACCCGCGGTCACCCGCCAGCTGCAACGGCAGATTGAGATTCAAGACGTCAAAGCCAATATCGGCACCTTACTTCGATATGCGACAACTTACGACTATGTAGTGCTTTCCATCTCAGCCGTGGCTGCTATCGCAGGCGGCGCAGCGCTCCCGGTCATGTCCATTGCATTTGGAAGGTTGGCAGGAGTTCTCAATGACGCGTACAGCGGTGTCTTGGATCAACATGACCTGAATGACAAAACTGTGAATACTGTTCTGTATTTGATATACCTGGCCATCGGTGAATTCTTCACTGTAGCTCTGTCAACGGCCGGTTTCATGCATTTCGGCGAGCGAATTAGCTGCGGCATCCGGGAGCAATTCGTGAAGGCTTGTTTGAGACAAAACATCGGCTTCTACGATACGATCCAGACCGGGGAGTTGACGACCCGCATTACGGCCGATACGAATTTACTGCAAGATGGCATCTCAGAAAAGCTGGGTCTCGCATTTGCTGCGCTAGCAACCTTTGTGAGCGCCCTGGTGGTTTGCTTTGCAAATCACTGGAAGTTGACACTTATGCTCTGCTCCATGGCTGTTAGTATTATCATGACGATGGCAATCGGTTCTCATTTAGTCACCAAATGGGGGACAGAGTCATACGGCTTGTACGCCGAAGGAGACAGCCTTGCAAACGAAGTCCTTGGTTCTGTGAGAATCGCCATGGCCTTCGGGAGCCAGGAGAAGCTAGCTCAACTTTACGATGGACGTCTAGCCAAGGCCGAGAAGCCTGGATTTCGCATGCAAGCAACCTTTGGCATTATGCTTGGCGTCACATTTCTCATCATGTATCTTGGATACGCGATTTCCTTCTGGCAAGGCGCCCGGTTTCTCGGTGCGGGCGACATCCGCCTGGCTTCCGTTGTTACTATCCTGCTCGCCATCATGACTGGCACATTCTCGGTGGGAAACATGTCAAGCAACTTTCAAGCTTTGATCAAGAGCCTGTCTGTGGCCGCGAAAATATTCGCCGTCATCGACAGACAATCGCCGATCGACCCGACATCCGGATCTGGGTCAACATTGCCTGCCGTTCGTGGCGAGATCCGATTCGAAAATGTGAAAATGATCTACCCTTCGCGGCCAGGAGTCACTGTCATGAAGGATCTAAGCCTCACTATTCCGGCCGGCCAATCCACTGCCATCGTTGGAGCAAGCGGATCCAGCAAATCTACCATCATTAGTCTCCTACACCGATTTTACGAGCCAATCGATGGCAAAGTATTACTAGATGGGCACGATATAACCACATTAGATCCTCGGTGGATCCGACGACAGATGCCGCTCGTTGGCCAAGAATCGATGCTGTTCAATACGTCTATATACAACAATATTGCATACGGCTTTATTGGGGCCGATCTGGAGCATTCTCCTCCTGATGTAAAGAGAGAGGCTATAGAGCAGGCTGCGAAACTAGCCAACGCTCACTATTTCATCTCCAACCTCCCGAAGTCTTACAGCACTGAAATCGGCGAGTCTGGCGGTTTGCTCTCTGGTGGTCAGAAACAGCGTATAGCCATTGCCCGTGCGATCGTTTCAAACCCGAAGATTCTGCTTCTAGACGAGGCCACATCGGCTTTAGACTCGAAATCAGAAAAAGTCGTACAAGCAGCGCTTGACAGCGCTTCTGGCTCTAGGACTACCGTTATCATTGCACACCGTCTCTCTACCGTCAAGAAGGCGGATAAAATCATCGTTCTCAGCAACGGCGCTGTGGTGGAAGAAGGTACACATACCGAGTTGCTCGAAAAAGGTGGTGTGTACTCCACTCTCATCTCGAAACAGCAGATCAATGAGAAGAAGAGCGCTATAGAGGAAGCTACAGACGCTGCCACAAGCGAAACAGTATCACGGCAAGAGAAGACGGAAATGCAAAGCTTCGAACATTCCGTAAAACTTTATCCAGATGGAGGAACCGATGAAGAAGCTGGTGAAATTTCCCAGCCAAGCGAAAACAGCAAACAACATGTTACGACGTGGACACTCATACGCACAGTTGCACGACTCAACTTACCAGAACAACATTGGATGGTACTCGGGTTATTCTGCTCCATTATATGCGGCGCTGGAATTCCTGTGTCAGCAGTCTTTCTGGCGAAGCTGATTGTAGCCATGACTCAGTTCAATGTCACGCAAGATCGAGCGCGTCTGACAAGCGACACAAGCTTTTGGAGCATCATGTACATAGTTTTGGCGGCTGGCCAATTACTATCATTTTCGATTGAAGGTGTCGCCTTTGCCTATTGCGGCGAGCGACTCGTACGTCGCGCACGAATGGAGCAATTTCGCCATATGCTTCGGCAAGATGCATCGTACTTTGACAAGATGACCACCGCGGAGCTCACTGCAACCATAGCTGGCAACGCATCAAACATTGCCGGACTCAGTGGAACCACACTTGGCAGCCTGCTCAACGTGGTGACGACCCTCCTTGGGTCTCTTATTCTCTCCATTGCAATTGGATGGAAGCTGGCTTTAGTAACGGCGTCTTCCATACCGATTCTTATCGTATGTGGCTATCTTCGATTTGGCATTCTCTCCAAGTATCAAGTTCACACCAAAAAATGCCACATTGAATCAGCAACTGGCGTGTGTGAAGCCATCGCGATGATCCGGACCACGGCTTCGTTCGGGCTCGAACACCATGTCGCACAAAGTTATTCTGCTGCGCTTGGCAAGCAGCGTCGACTTAATATCCTACCTGTTATCAAGGCATCCATTCTATATGCGGTGTCGCAATCGCTTGTCTTTCTTTGCATGGCCCTCGGCTTCTGGTACGGAGGCACGCTAGTCATTGCGAAAGAATACACGGTTCTGCAGTTTTATATCTGCTTCGCCGCAATCATATTCGGAGCACAGTCTGCAGGTACTGTGTTTTCTTATGCTCGTAAGTCTCAATTTAGTGATCTTTGGTGTGCATCGACTAACAGACTCGCGAGCTGATATGGGCAAGGCTCGCCAAGCTGCTCTCGAAGTCCACACTCTGTTCTCTCGCCAGCCGTCAATAGATACTTGGTCGTGTACCGGCGAACAGCTGGAATCGATGCAAGGCAACGTTGAATTCCGTAACTGCCGGTTCCACTACCCCATGCGCCCAGAAACCGAGGTACTCCAGGGAGTTAACGTCACGATTGAGCCGGGTCAGTTCGTTGCGTTTGTCGGTTCCTCAGGCGGAGGAAAGTCAACACTGCTCTCCCTTCTGCAGCGTTTCTACGATCCAACGCATGGTAGTGTTCTTGTTGACGGATTTGACACACGGTCCCTTAATTTGAACAACTACCGGACATTTTTGTCGCTGGTGGCGCAGGAGCCCGCTCTCTATGAAGGCACGATTCGCGACAACATAAGTCTTGGCGCTCTGCACGATATTACTGATGAAGAGATAGAAGCAGCCTGCAAAGATGCAAATATCCATGAATTTATAATGTCTTTACCAAACGGCATTTCAACTATGGTTGGCAGCAAAGGCGCACTACTCTCCGGAGGGCAGAAGCAGCGTATAGCTATTGCAAGAGCCTTGGTTCGCCAACCACAAATCTTGATTTTGGATGAGCCAACAAGTGCATTGGACTCGAACTCGGAAGCTGAGATCCAAACCGCCATCAGCAAAGCAGCTAAAGGGCGCACGACTGTAGTGGTGGCTCACAGGCTTTGCACTGTGCAAAATGCCGACATGATCTACGTGCTGAAGCAAGGCCGCGTCGTTGAACAGGGTACACATGCACAACTAATGATGGAAAAAGGATTATATTATGAGATGGCAGAGCTTCAGCAGCTAGACACGGAGATTTAGCGTCGGTACATTCATAATTAGTATCCGCATGTTTGTAGGCTCAGCATGGAGAAGGCTCTGACGAGTAGCTGCTGTTCTGTACATCTGTTTGATATCATAGATTTTTTAAGCTGCATCACCCGAACTTTATAATCTGGTCGCCATTTGACTGAAAATTCCCGTACAATCGCTCTGTGTGTAGTTACCTAGCACTAAACGCTCAGGTCCCAAACCCGGGGCAGTGGATTGAAGCCGAACCAAGCTGATACAGTTGCCGGGCGCAAAACCATGAGTCTTGACCCCATAGTTTAAAAATTCTTTACGTGAATAGAATGTTCTTTTTTGATTAATTTGGCCTCCCATCGATCTTCATCTAAATCTCACACATCATTGCACTACTTTCGCCATGACGGAAGAATCGCTGGCGCATGTCGACGGGCAGGAAAAGAAAATATTCACTGCTAGATGCCACTGCGAATCGATTGTATTTACGTTTTTCATCCCAACACCAGACACCCCGTTGTCCGCGTATCTTTGCCATTGCAGCATATGTCGCAGCTCGACAGGGACTCTGGCGATCTGCCACGCCGTCCTGCCCGCCGGAGAGAGGCCAGTATTTATTGGCAGTTCAGGTGTGCATAATTTGACGGAATATGTACCGATAGGTAGATCAGGACGTTATGACTTTCGATTTTGCTCTACCTGTGGTGCTCATGTGGCAAGCACTGAGATCGCTACAGGGGACTGGATCGTGTCTACATCCATTGTCACGGACGAAGACGCACGACATATCCGGTTCACAGAACAGTTCTTTACCAAATCCGCACAGGACGGAGGTATTTCAAGCCTGATTAAGATTATTGGTAACACAGAACTCGAAACCTGGAACCCAGAGGAAGAGAGTACGCAAGCTAGCATTACTGAGGATGCGGAATCGCAGGCGGCAGACCCAGAGGCTCTGCGCTTACAGTGCCACTGTGGTGGCGTGAATGCTAAGATAATGCGACCTTCAAATGTGGAGTTATCAATTGGGACTAGCAATAGCTCAACACGCAAGTGGCCAGCGACACTAGATATTGGACGCGACTCCCGGCTCGTCAACGGTTGCCACATCACTGGCTGGGTTAGACTACCATTGACAGCTTGTGTGCCTGCGATCGGCCGTGATCTCAAGATTGGGACAGCGAAGGCGTATCAATTGTCAGATACGGCAGTTCACTCATTTTGTGGAATCTGCGGCGCTACCTTGATGTCGCTAGACTCCAGCGATGGAGACGACATAACCCTGCTGGCCACAGGCACCTTGAAGGCTACCGAAGGTGCCATGGCGCGGGAATGGCTCTGCTGGAGCCCAGAGATCAAGGGCTATCTAGATACCGCAGATTTCGACCCGGATTTTGGCGAAGCAGTCAAAACTGGCATGGAGCAATGGGCTTCGCAAGACTCCTAGTTTTACATCCTGGTGCAGATAATTCGCTGTATTTAAACTAGTCCCAAATACACATCTACTCTGTTTTCCTGTTTAAATTTACAGTGCGGGCTATTTCCAATTGATGCGAAGCTTGCTTCTAACCTCTGCCGCAAGCTCAAGCGCATGCACTCTGCTTCGTCTGGAGTACACATTTAAATATCCAATGAAGACATTCTCGCCTGTACTGGGGTGCGGGACGTGGTCGCCTTTCTTCAGAAAACACATATAGTTGCTCAGATGCTGGCGATAGTGCGGGTAACGGGACAACAAATCAGCACAAAAATCATCTGAGTCGTATATCCCTTTGTACAGAGTTTGATCGTAGTCGTTGCTGATGAATACCATCACGCAGTGATACTGTGGTCCATCCAGGTAGGGCTGAGCCAGAGCTCGGATTCGGGTGCCGTCGCCGAGGGCCGTCAGCAGTGCAAGGCCCCAATATTCAACACCGTACGTTGATTCAATAATTTTAGTGGTCGTGCTGCCTGGCGGTCGAGGGTTGACTTCGTGCAGCCAGGCCGCCGGGCTGCTACTGGTTGAGTCTGGGCTGGTAAGCCGAGGGAGCAAATCAACGCAGCCGTCGGCGTTCTGACGGAATTCAGAGCCAGAGTTAGAAATGCGGAGTTCGGTGTGGAATACACCGCTGTGAAAGCCCATGCGACGCAGTGTATCTCTGCATGATTTTTGCAGCATATCAATTTCGCCTGGAGCATGAGAGGAAGGGTAGATGCTGTTCTGCTCCAGGAAGCTGCAAGAACTTTCACATTGACTTTTCGCGTCATCGGAAGGCTTGGGAAAATCGTCACAGACCTCGAAGAAGACAATCTCACCTTCCCAAAAGACGATGTTAACATCCACTTCCGGCCCGTTGCAGTAGGGCTCCAGAAGAAAATCATCACCGTGACGGCTGGTGTCGATGGATGCTATCGCTCGAGCGAGCTGCGTTTCATTGTTGACTTTTTCAACTCCTTCGGAACTCCAGCCCTTGCACGGCTTTATAATGAGTGGCCATGGGCCAGTGGCATGGCTAGGGTTTTGAGGGTTGCTGGAAACCGCTGTGGTGTTGACAAATTTGAGCGCATCTTCGAGCGTCTGGCCCCGAAATGTGAGATGACCGGCCAGCGTGCTGGTTTCGAATTTGTCTGTCGCGATAGTGAAGGCTTCTGGAGTATTCGTAGGGAGACCCAATGCTTGGCAGGCCTCAGCGACGGCGGGCATGTACCACTCGCAGTAGGTCGTTGCGCCGTCAATTTTGTGTCCGCACGAGTTAAAGACTTGCACAAGATGGTCGCCAAATCCGACCACAGATGATTCCGGCATCTCAATTGGAATAAAGTCCATTCGCAAATGTGCATATTCTGGCCCCTGAAGCCAGTGCCCAGCTTCGTCAAAGACAACAACATTAATCCCAAGACATTTGGCTGCATTAAGCAGTATAGCCGCGTTTCCTCCCTCTTCCGGGTGAATGTGGCCTGCATGTACAAGAGCTATCGTGCGCCGGGGTTGGGGCGAGTCCAGAAGCCATGGTGAAGATAGACGATTCGTAAGCTGTGGCTCTATTGAGGTGGACAGAGATTCGTAGCTGCTTTGGGCATCTTCGGGGGCTGATACCAGCAGTCCGGCTGCCGCTGAGACCAGGAGCGTCTCAAGGTAGTGTGTGGCATCTACTGTGGAAATGTCGACCGCTTCAAACTGTTGCAGCGGCTGCGCAAAAGATCGCACCAATGCGATGTGCGGCAGATCCGCCAAACGAATTTGGAAAATGTCGGTTCTGGTAATTTGGCCTCGGACGGCGGGTAGGATAAGCTTCACTAGCACAGGTTTGCGATCTGTGGGTTCGACAGCGGCTTCGACAGCGCCGCTCGACTGTACCAAACACTCCCTGAGAAATTGAAAGGCTGGGGTAGATGCCACGGCCTTCGCATCAAAACAAACTTTATTCAATTCCAGGACGTTGTCTGGGTTCGAGCCTGAACCAGCATCGGTCGCGGCAATTGGCCGAAGGAGCAGGTCGAGAGAGACCCAACTGCCTCGCGATGCTTGTGCAGTAGCTGTCGCGTCCCATGCCAGGTTCCCTATATGATGCATTAGTATTTATAGAGATCTTTGTAATTCAGGCAAAAGAACGAAGCCATTACCCTTGTCGTAAAAAATTACTACGCTCTGTGAGGCGAACTTGGATGGCATTGTATAAATCCTCTTCGGGTCTTGTTGCTTCGGTGGATGGAAAATGGTTCAAATGAGTAGTGTGGAACATTTTATGTTTTCTAACAGCATAATATAAATAAAGAATTATGAAAAATGGCCGGTCACATGAGACACTAAAGACTCAGTAGCAGCTGGAATATCATCAATGGCCCCAAGCAAATGCCGGATATTTTTCTCCATTGCTCGGCGCAAACGCAGCGAAACCTCCGCCCTGGCAGTCTTTTTGGCCTCACCCACAGCTAGCATGCTCCCCAGCCTGTAATCCTGCCCTACAAGAGTCACTTGCAGCGGCCATAATGGTGCAGCTTCACCATATGTGTCGAGGAATTCCTTCAACCGTGTAGACCACGTTTCGTGGTCTACTGGCTCCAGCCTCCGACGCAGAACAGAGCTTGTAATGTCCCAGATAGTCCCTTCGGAAAGGCCACACTCCATCTGCAGCATCCCAAAATTAGTGGCAGGCATATCCTCAAGCCTTGCCACGATCTGCCCTGCCACCATAGTAACGGTCGAAAGTGCGACATGTGCGTCGATGGTGCTCGCATCGTATACCCCCATAGCAGCTACTGAAGCTATGTAGCGCCATAAATAGTCGCGAGTATTGGATTCAGCCCGTTCTGCATCGTCTATAATGAAAGCCGGCTTGATGACAGACAGGTCGAGGCATTTGCATTTCCATTTCTCTGAAGCAAGCCGCGCTGCATCTTGTACTAGTGCTTGGCTAAATAGCTTCGTTTGGCTGTAGCCTTCAGGGGCGCCAGAGACTTGTTGTTCGATTGCAGTGCAATCTGTGACTCTGATACCCCCCGAAATGTACACAAAGCGACTGGTAAAAGGAGACTGGAATGCATATTCTAGTAAAAGTTGGGTTGCGCCAACGTTGACTGGCCACAGAGCTTTGGCTCCTTGGCTCCAGTTAACTTGCGCGCCGTTGTGGATTATTGCATCAATCTGGTCTGCTGAATCGCCAAGGCCGGCTAGACGACGCCTTTTTACATCGTCCAATCCGAGCCAAGGCAAGGCGAGGTCACCAAGCCATATCTCAATGCGATCTCCAAATGCCTGCGACCACCAACCTTCAGCCGCAGCCCGGTCTTGTATACGTTGTAGCGCACCCGCAGCGCTCGAGCCACGAACAAGCACCGATATCTTGACATCGGACTGGATAGTTAGCAATCTATGCATAATTGCTAATCCGAGAAAGCCAGTAGCGCCAGTGAGGAATACGTGTTTAATTCCGTTTTGGCTCGGGCTCTGAGCACGCGAAGGAGCGGCTTGAACTTGAGTTGCCAAGTCGCACTTTGCATCCTCAAATTCTGCCGCAAAATCGACTGAATTTGGCAAATAATTCGTTTTATTCGACTCTTTTGCTTCTCGAATCCATTTCGAAACTGAAGTAGGACATGCCGCGTCCTCCAGTAAACTTTCAACAGGGAGTTTAACGTCGAATTGATGGTATATGGCTCTCATGAGTGTTATAGCTTTGATGGAATCGATACCCTGCTGTCGAAAAGGAATGTCACGAGCATTTTCATGCAAGACATCATTTTGTTTTGTGTTCTTTCCTGCGCATGTCGAGAATTGCGATATGAAACCAACCAGAAGCGCGACCTGGCAAGCTGTGTCATCCCCGTGCGGTATAGCGGGATATTCGTTGTCGTCGATGGAACTTGCAGGTATTGATGCAAGCCAGTTGCTGATTGTTCGACGATCCAGTTTTGCCGACGGTAGTCGAGGAAGTCGCCGCGTCACCAACCACACGGATGGTGCCATGTATGTTGGCAATTCCTGCCTAACTTTTTGAGCAATGTGCCCAGTATCTTCGCTGAGAAGCTCAATAGATGTATCCCTAGATGTCTTTTCCTTTTGAAATTCGGTTTCGTCCGCCTGATTCGCGAAGCTGTGAAGCTCCACGAGAGCCACGAGGCATCTGGCATATCGTCCTTCAGCTGGATAGACTACTGCGCACAACCGAACATCCCTTTGGGCTGCGATACAATGCTCAATCTCTCCCAACTCTGTCCTCCGTCCTAGGACCTTCACCTGGGAATCTTTTCTAGATATGAAGTCGATACTGCCGTCGGGGTTTTGCACTCCGAGATCTCCCGTGCGATACACACGATAACTCTCACGTTCAACGTCTCGCACGAGTGGCAGCAGCCACTTTGGGCTGCGAATGAAAGATTGTTGGGTCGCAGTAGGAGAGTTAATGTAGCCTCTTCCCACCGTTGGGCCTTCAACCAATATTTCCCCAACCTGGCCGATTGGCATCAGCCTGTCTGAGTCTTTCGGGTCGACGATCCAGCAGACACCCCCCGCTGGTGTGCCAATATTGCTTGCGCGCCGATTTATGTCGGCTGGGCAACTAATTGTGGTGATTACACTGCACTCACTCACTCCGTAGCCGCTGAGTAGGCGCACAGACTGTGACCAGACCTCGATGTTAGACTGAATCAAGCGCTCGCCCGCAAGCACCACCACCTCGAGCGTGGGAACATCTTCGGGCCGAATTGCCGTAATGAAAGATGGTGTTAAAACAGCCCATGTGACAGCTTTCTGATTGATAAACTCGCACAGACTCTGCATTCTCTCGTGTTCGGATGGACTGCAAATCGTTCCTCCCACACAGAGAGTTGTGAGAATCTCGACGATACTCGTGTCATGTGTATACGCTGCAAATTGCAACACCCGTGAAGACGAGCTAATGTATTGCGCTGGTGCGTGGATTCGAAGGCCAGAGCAAAAGGACATGTGCTCTATAATAACACCTTTGGGGTTGCCTGTACTGCCCGACGTGAAAATGACGTAGGCCGCACCTCTTGGATCTCCCGGCGGCAGTTCACCGTTCGTATTTCCCAAACAACCGTTTATATCGTTACTTTCAAGATTGGCGGTCTCAGGGAGCTCCAAGAGCCGTGCATCAATGCCCTCGAATAATGTGGCATGCTCTGGGGCCGACACAATAACAGTTGCACTGCTTTGACTCAGCATATACTGTCGTCGAGCTGGTGGATCCTTTGGGTCCAGTGCAAGGAAAGCACCTCCAGCCTTCAGTACAGCCAACATAGCAATAATCATCCACTTGGACTTGGAGAAACAAAGTGGAACTATGCTTTCCTGCCGAATGCCGCACTCTCGCAGCAGACATGCGAGGCCATTTGCCAATTGCTCAAGTTCTCCATACGTAGTATCACCTTCCGAGGTTGATATTGCGATCTTGCATGGGTTCGAATGAACGTGCTTCTGAATCTCACAGTCAATACAAGTTTCAACTGACTCAGGAAGAGGCCTATTCCATCGGAGCAATTGTCTCCAGTCGTCATTGGATAGAACGCTGTCTTGCGCGTCCTCTGTTGTTATAGTGGCCATGTATGGTGTTCGGGGTTATTGTTGGATTTTGTACTAAAAAGAAAGAAAGAATGCATCTCGCGAGATGAGGGATCCTGGATTTTTAAATTCCACTTACTGTGTTTCACGAGATTCCCACCAGGTAAATACACTGTCATTTACCAACTTGTAGGCTAGCAGGCCAACTACTAGGCATGCAGGCCAACTACTAGGCATGTATGTATTTTATTGCGATTTATTTTAATCTTCTTATATTTCTACCTATAGTTGAAATATTTCAAGTTCTACATTATTTTCGGTGACGAGTACTTATAATAATTCGAAGGCCCTTGGAGTCCAGCTTCGGTACAGGATCAAAGAAGTCGTGGGCCATTTCCACGTCTTCCACCGTTGTCTCATATAAAGATATGTTATAGCGACGGAAAAGAGTTCCCAAAACGAGATAAAGCTCAGCCCAAGCAAGGTGCATGCCAAGACACATCCGAGTGCCTTTGCCAAATGGAACGAAATGTTTTAATAGCTCAGTGCGACTTTCGGGGTTGTCAAGCCATCTCTCCGGGCAAAACTGTCGAGGTTCTGGGAATATTTTGACATTATCATGCATGAAAATGGAAGTCATGCTCACGGGAGTTCTTGGTGGAATGTGCCAGCCGTGCAAGCTCAGTGGTTCGTCTGCCAGCAGTTGCAGTCTATGCGTCACACCATATGCCAGCCGCAGACCCTCAGTAATGTACGAGGTCAATATTGGCAACTTCTCCAGTTTACGCAAGGATAGCGCTGCAGATTGATCTGGGAACGCCTCATCCAGTTCTTTGAGTAAGTCATATAATCGCAACGGATTAGCCACCGTGTGGAAGACAACGGTCTTGAGCACATTGACCATAGTTAGAGTGCCAGCTCCGATCAAGGTCTGTCCCTCGCCCTTCAACCTTTCGACCGTCTTTTCACAAACGGGCAGTCTACTTTGAAGCAGCATATCAAAGACACACGAGGATGTCTTGACGTCAAGTTTGCCCTCAGCACCTTGTGAATTGTTCTTGTTTTCGCTGCCAATTCGCTTGTCTATGATCTCCTGGACGTTCAAATTCATCCACTGCAATACATTTAGTAAATTATACTCGAAACAGCCGGATTCGGGAGACGTTACCTGCTGAATAGTATATAGGCAGCCAAATGCAGGAGAGATCCAATACACGAGCCAAAGGGGAAGTTTCGCCAGCAGCGGAACAAGCCAGGGAAACTGCTTAATAAGATGGCTAAGCTCTGATGGCGCTGATATTGTGTTCACCCAATCTGGTGCAAATTCAGGGTCGTCTAGTAGCCGGAATGGTTCACCAAAACAGTACTTTGAGATGACATCCCCAGCGAGACAGGCAAACGCAAGACCCGCGTTGACAGGTTTCTTTGCGACAGCAAATCCATCAAGTCGATTGCATAAATGCCCAATAAAAACATTAATATCATCCTGTAACTCAAATATAGCCGTCTTGGAAAATATTGGATTCAAGGCTGCTCGTCTGACGCGGTGATGCGCATGGGAAATGGTTGAAAAGACCGAGGTGTTGTTGCCAAACATCCTGGCGGCCCACGGCCACTTATCCCTTCGAGAGGAGGACCCGGTATACAGGACTCTGTAGAATTCAGGGTCTTGTACATGGATCTCAAATGGATTAATTCGAACCACGGGGCCTGAATATTCCATGGCTTAGTATGATTCGGTAGGTGTGACGTGTTGCTGGTAGAGAACTCACCATATCGTTCATGCATCTTTTCGATCTGGCGAAAATAGCTTCCACGTTTGACTACATCGAAATAAAACTCGTACCAAAACGTAGCCGCTGCGATTTTTGGTCCTGGAAAATGAGCTATTGGGCTGCAGTGAAGCCGGTAAGTGACCAAGCCAATACACCAGACAGAGCTTAATAAAATAACAAAGCCCATCACCACCTGGCAGAGTATGACAGGGGGAGGCGTCTGTTCGTATAGTGATAGAAGCATTTTCGGTACGCAAAGATCTAAATCAAAATTTCGGGAAATAATTCAGATTGGTCTGGAATTAGATGTAGTCGTGGAGAGTGAGATTTCCGAGCAGCTCGCCCCAACAAATAAATCATCGCTGCAACAGCACTGAGGCTATGACTTTGGTGATTTATCTTTTTTATAAAAAAAAAAAAAAAAAGGAAAAAGAAAGAAAAGAAAGGCGAGAATTAATGATTAGTGTGAGTATCTATTTTTCTTATTTTTGTTATTTCTTTTATTTTCTTTTAGATGATATACCAGCATGCCTCATTTTTAGTTGATCACCGTGTCGCCTGTCTGTCTTCGGCGCCTAGCTCAGGCTTGCCATACTCTCTTTCCATATGAAAGCAGTCTGCCCTTACAGCTTTGAGAAACTCAACAGGTCTGGTGCCCCCTGTTCCATTGGAACTAGCTATGCTTCTTGAGGTTGCGTCTTGTTTTTCGGAAACACGTACTTTGCTCGAGGCGGCCGGCACGACTACATATCGCGTCACGATCTGAATATGAAAGCTCCTGAACTCTGTCAGAGCCTTCACGCAATTTCCATACTCTAGCCGTACCGCGCTGTTTGCCGCGAGCGGTTCTAGAGCCCTCGAAATGCACGATATTTTTTTTACCTCACGTAGAAAGGCCCGATGGCAACCAGGCAGGTATAAATGCATTTCCTAGCAGCGGGTTAATACTGCGACCGTGACAGTTACCTGCGCGTTGTAAAACTCACCTCAAGGAACGAATTCCCGATATGATTTATGCCCAGTGCAACATCTACAAAATGAAACAGCGCGCTCTGCGCATTGCTCGGGCCACGAAATTTCTGGTAGACATTTTTATCGCGAAGCTGGAATTTAATGCCGTGTGGCAGGCCGACATCGGCCAGGCCAGCAGTGCCTTCAAGAAACGGCCTCAGAGTGTGGTAAAAAAACTTTGGGCTGCACCTTGAGTACATCTCCGGTAGAATCGATGTCATTCTGCTTATAACTTCAGCTGCGTCATGCAGTAGCTCAGTCAGTACGGGAAAGTCTCCCAGTTCAGCAGCCTCATTAGCGCTCAATAGCAATCGTATCAGTGGAGCACCTGCTGCTTCAATGGCCACCGAAATGCAGAAGAACGCGGACTCTTCGGGACTTCCTGTAAATGAAGTGCAAGTCTTGAGACTTCCTAGTTCCATGGGCACGCCCTCTGAGCCGCATTTGTGGTTCCAGATTGTCTGACCCGCATAGGTAGCAATACAGGGTAATCCAAGATGCGTGGCGACATCCATCAGCGGTTGTGCTATACATTGTGGCAGGATCTGTATGATGGTTAGCTAATTTATGCTATTGTAACAGAAACATTAGAAGGACACTTGACGAACTTGTGCAGGTGGGTGTTTATGAAATAGAAATGCGTTTGAGATAAACCCTAGCACAACGTATGCTCGTTGCCAGTTTGGCTCGCTTTGCAGGTGAATGGTGTCCAGTACAGGTAGAGCTGCAATTTCAGCTCTGAGAGTGTCGCTGCGAATCAACTGTGGCAATTTTGACGCTACTGACTCCCATGGTTCGTAGTAGCTATCTTCAAGCTTTAAGAGCGGCCGACGTTCTGGAAGAAACCCCGCCACAGCTGAGACTTCGTACTTGTCGAGGGTCTGTAGAAGGTACGCCATCCTCTTGTGTGATCGGTTAGCACCATGGCCAAGAAATATGGCAGAAGCAAATATTGCTTCTAAAATATAATATCGGCTCAAGCAAGCTACTGGTTTATTTTGTAGGTGAAACGCCATACATTGTGGTGGGGGGGGGGGGTTGCCTGCACTTAGCGCTGAGTTCGGGCCATGATTCTCTATTTTTATACACTCTATGTAGCCCTGTGCAGATAGTTATGTATTGATTCTAATTTAGGCTAAGAATGCTTTTAAATTACTTAATGTAATTTCACTATTCTTGAGAAACTCGTCAGCAATTATCTGCAAACTCCTGGCCATTTTCGCAGCCAGTTGGGTTGATATCACACTCTCGCGGTATTGAATGGAGCACTTCGTTGACCCGTCTGAAGCAACGTCCGCGGCAAGAACAACATCATACTGTACTTCGGTCAGCTATAGTTCCTATTACACTAGCCACTTCTTGCGGTGGCGAACAGAAGAAGTTGGGCAACTTACATTCCAAGAGTCTTCGAAGCTCAGCATGGAAACTTCGACATTTTCTCGCCGCATACGAAGGCTATCGACGCCCGAGTTTCGAATATTGACCATAGTATTTATCGTGCCAGCAGTGGTGCCATTTACTGCATTCTGCGCTGCACGCACAGGCTGTTTGCCTCGCCGAAGGCTCAACTCAATATGCCGTTCTTGTATGCCTCTGACTAGTCGCAACAGGGTCGTCGTGGCCGCGATATCCAAGTTCAGCACGAAAAGATCCACAAAAAGGCCGACAGCACCCTCGATCTGCGGTATATCGAGACATCTTTCGGACGAGACGTAGGCAAAAGCGACGTTTTGATTTGAGACGTGCTGCGATAACACCAAACTCCACGATGCGAGGACCAGACTGGATACTGTGACGCCTTGCTCCAGAAATAAATCTGACTTGTTAATATGGATGTGGCAAATGGATGCCGTAGTTTTCGATTTGTGTTCATTGCCAGAGCTCCTGATAGCTGACGCCGAATCCGGAGTTATCACACAACATGTCGGATCTGTGTCCTGCTTCTGCAAAAAGTCACGGTCGCGCTTCGCGAGATAGGACTTGTAATAATCGCCGTCGCAACCACTTGACAGACTCTTTCCTCCAAGTAAATATGACTTGATGAGGTCTTCGAGGAGCGTGGAACGTGAACCCGCGTCGACAATGGCATGGCTGAATTCAAGGCGGAACTTGGCTTCGCTACCCTGTGCGCCCACGACCTCGAATTGGTGAAGTCGATCAAAGTTAAGATCTGGTGCATCATGAGCTTGTATCGTCCACTTGCGTCGGACAACTGCCAAGTGGCCACCTGCCGCCTCGTCGAACACAAACGCAGTTCTTAGGCTGGCGTGGTGTTCGACGACGCGTTGCCATGCTTGCTGTAGCCGGCGCGCATCTACCTCTCCAGAAATATTTTTCTCCGTAACAAGAAAGTTCCATATTCCTCGTACCCAATAATACGACGCGCCTTTGGCTTGGCTCTCTAGCATATGGTTTTGGATGTCCGACGCCCAGTATACGCTCTCAATACCTCGGAAGTCGGTGATGTTGTTCCGTAGCAGGCATTTTTCCTCGTCTGGAGAAATAAGACTCAATGGCGCAGAAATGGCATTTAAGCAAGCTTTCGATTGAGATGCCGCTAAATGCAAGGTTTCGTGCCAGATGCTACATAGCTGCTGAATTTTGTCCAACTGCCTAGCCGATCTCGGTGTAGTCATCGTAAACTGCAACTGGTTGTTCTCAACCGACACCAATATTTCGAGCAATGAGAGTCTTGGAGCAGCTGGATGAGCTGTTTCCTTGCCTACAGGAGATAATCGAGTAAAAAGGGAGTCCGCTCGGTCAACTTGTCGGAATCGTCCAGTGAAGTTAAACACTACCTCCATAGGGTGGTGTTCCTCGAATGGCTCCTGATTCAAAAACCGGTGGCACCAGTATGGATGTCCATTGTTTGGCACAAAGCACTGAGCCTCATGTGTGTATCTCAGAGCAGACATAAAATCGCGAGCGACGCAGGCGGGCACATGAATTGGATAGGCGGAGGTAAACCATCCCACGGTATTAGACACATCCAAATCATCGGTCCAGGATTCCCTTCCGTGTGATTCAATGTACATGTTGGGGGTTTCTCGGTCCAAAAATGTGCTTGCGAAGGCTTTGTAGAACGCCGCAATCATGATATCCACGGGTTTGATTCCTGAGCTTTGGTCAAGCAGAATGTCTGTCGCGGACGTATTCACACAAAACGTGAAGTCCATAACGTCGCCATGCATATTAAACAATGCATTACAGGTGTCAATTTGTTTCGGATACCAATATTCGTAGTTTTCTTCGGCGAGACGTATCGGCAGAACCTTTGTGCTGTCAAGGCTGCGAGAGTAGTCTTTCTGGAGCACACACCATCTCTGGAAGGACGTTGTGGGCTGGTCAATGGGTTTTGATAAGAGGATATTTTCCAGATCCTGCAAAATCACCCTCCAAGAAACCAAGTCAATAACAAGATGATGCGCGACTATAGTCAAATCCTTTAATGCTTGCTCTGTTCCAGAAGCAAAGACGCGCAAGAGCACGTCTGCGGTGGCAGGGATATCCAGCGCCCCAGTGTCCAGATTCAGCGCAGTACCTGGGTGGAAGGCAACGTACTGAGACATGTCGGCGTGCGTGGATATTTTCTGAGTCCATTTTCCCATCGCATCACACAAAAACCTCGCTCGCAGCATAGGATGCACAGCTACGAGCGTCCAAATTGCATTTTCCAGCGCTTTCAAAGTCAGGGGTTGGTTGAATTCAAGGGCCACACTTTGCACAAAGCTATTCGGCCTGTCGCCCACCACATTAAAGAAGAACTGCTGCACAGGGGAGAGAGGGAAGGGCTCGATAGAGCTCCCGCCCTTCGAGTCATGCGCGTTGCTTTGACTTTGGTCGGAAGAATTGGACAAATGTGCCAGTTCGCGTAAGCTGCGGTTGGACAAGATATCCTGGACGCGAAGCGACAGGCCTGCGTCTCGCGCCAGCCGTCGCAGCTCGATTGCCATAATAGAATCTCCGCCGTTACGAATAAAAGAGACATCGGGGCGCAATTGAGAAGATTTTTGTACATCTTTCCCACCCCATAGTACGCGACACAGAATATCTCGAAACAAGGAGTCAAGGCCGAGTCCATCCTCGACTATGGGAGCATCATGTACTTGATCCGACTCGGTCGGCAATCGCAGTACCGAGCTATCTGATAGCGTTGCTAGCCATGTCCGCAAGGCCTTCCTATCGATTTTCGAAGATGAATTCTGCGGTAAAAAAGGCAATTCTATCCAGTGGTGTGGTATCATCGACCGCGGGAACTCGAGTTCGAGGGAATCTCGTAGGAGCTCCACCAAGGACGATGGTAGACCGCGGGCCTCAGAATAGCAGGACAGCTCCGAAAAGGCCGGCTTCGCCGCTCGCGCGCAGTCTTCGTCTCTCTGCGTACTCGGCCGCACAACCAGGGCAACCAAATTTTGGCGGAAGCAACCCTGTTTGGGCAGGTCTATAACGGCGCTGTGCAGTTGGGGCAGCGCAGCGAGGTAGCTTTCGATTTCCTCGCCGTTGATGCGTTGCCCCATAATTTTTAGCTGGTTATCCTTGCGACCGTGAATCCTGGTCGACCCGGTTTCCGTCATCTCGGCCAGATCGCCCGTCTTGTAAAAGCGCTCCTCCGGCGAAGAGGCCCACGCCAGGCCTGTGATGAAGGAGGCTCGCGTACGCTCTGTATCGTTGTAATACTCTCGCGCCAAGATGCGTCCACCAATCACAAGCTCACCGACATTTCCAGCTGGTAAAAGTGTGTGGTGATTTTCTGCATCAACGATATAACACGTACTGGCGACAGCGTGGCCAATGATGTTCCCGGGTAGCTTGGTCGCTGAACTCCTCTCTGACATTATACACGCAACACTAGCCTCTGTCGGTCCGTATACATTGAATAAGCGAAGATGTTTGCTCCATGTGTCTATAACATCGTCTGGTATGAGCTCTCCGCCGAGCTGGAGTGCGGTCAGGCTCGGAACATGACTCGGCTCGATCATTTTGATCGAGGATGGTGTGAGCAGCGCATGATTGACACGCAGGCTGCTGATGGCGTTCGATAGATTGAAACGATCCTCTTCGGTTGGTACGCAGACGCACCCTCCATGAATTAGTGTTGTGAGGATTTCGTCAACCGACACGTCAAAAGCATGCGATGCGAACTGCAGAACTCTGGAGCCCGGCTTCAATCCAGTGAGCTTCCCTCGCTCCAGCGCGCTGGCCGTAAACGCCCCATGCTCTATGACGACGCCTTTCGGACTACCAGTGCTACCAGAGGTGAATATAATGTAGGCAGCAGTTGTTTGCGTGACTTTCGTGCGCCATTCTCCATCACCAGTGACTGGAAAGGGGCCCGTTGCATATTCTGCTGTTAGATTATCATGCAGTACAAGAGCCGTGGGGCAAAGTTCGCGGGCCCTCTTTGACAAATTCGGGGTTGATATCACAAGCCGAGAATCAAGCTGTGCGATCTGTTTCTGCAACCTGTCTTGAGGGTGGCTTGGATCCAGTGGTACAAAGGTAGCGCCAGACCTGAGCACTGCGACCACCGATAACGTGTAACGTAAAGACTTTTCCATCAATATCACAATCTTGGCCTCCGAATAGACTCCAAGCTGAAGTAGATGATTCGAAAGCCCGGTACTTTCTTCCCATAACTGTGCGAAGGTGAGGCAGGCACCAAGCTCCTCAACGGCTGGTGATGATGATGATGATGATAACTCTATTAACCTAATGCAGCCCAGCTAGTGCGCAGTGGCTATGTAGGCGCTTCCTCCGGCGGAAGCAAGAGCTAACCGAACGCCCCCGAAACGTAGTAGATAGTAAATACAAAGGGAAACGGCGTTTTGCCAAACAAATGCAGCTGAATATCAGCCCATTACAGTACCTATACACCCTTAATAATCAATCCCACTGTTTTCCTCCCTCACTTCGCCCTCTCTCGCCTGCGTTGCTATGTATTACCTTCTTCCACTTCCGGCAGCGTATATGCAGCTGCTTGCTTCTTTCGATTGATGTTTGCTGGCTATATAAGCTGTTCTAGTCAACCAGAGTTGACTCGACCAGTCGGTGCAGCGTATTTAGTTATAATCGTCCTAGCCCGTCTTAGGTTGAGCTAGGGTTTCGGCGGTTATATTATATATTGTCTTCGCTGCCTGCTCCCCTACCAGATTCGCTGTCTCTGGCCGTTGTTTCGTCGTCTTCTGGTTCCGAGTTAGGGTTAGGATCTAGCGTAGTGTTAGCATCTAGCTTAGCGTTAGCATCTGGCTCCGCGTTAGGGTCTGGCTCTTCGTTAGTAATTGGCTCTGGTTCGATCTCCGTCTGCCGGAATTGGCCTAGGAGACCTATTTATAATATGAATTCGGCTACGTAGCGGGTGGCCTACGGATAGGAGACGATCGCTTCGTAGTCAGCGGTCGCTCTAAGATCTGTCCGTGCCTAGATCTTTTCTAGTATCTCGTGACGCTGCTTAGTGTATAACGGATACTGTATAAGGATATATCTCGGTATTTGAGACCCCTCCTCGCAGTGATACTGGTCAGAATCACGAGCGCTGATCTTATATAAGAAATAGTTTAATACGATACGTATCGAACGTATTTAGATTAACACCGATATATAGTGCTTAGGTAGAGATTTATATAGCTCTAAGGCTTTCTTATCCGGCTTCGGGAGTAACCGTTTAGTCGGTTTCCCTATCTTTTCGCGGTCCTACTTAGTAGCCCAGCGCTGCTTAATCCGCCGCCGTATACGGCCTTTAGCTAGGCTAGCCAGTAGGAATCGAGGCTAGTCGGATATAGGTTAATCCGAGCCGTTCCTGATAGCCCTACTGGTCGCCGCTAACTTTACTTTAACGTCCGCCGTCTTATTACTAGATACGCCTACGTATACGGGGATCTAACGGATCTCGACGGGAATCTTATCGGACGTAGGCGTATAAGCGGGTCGGAGGGCTCGTACGTGATTATAAATTTAAGAGAGTACGTATTAGCCGGAGGACCGCTTAGGATTTCGTACTACCTAGATAGTAGCCTAGTAATTAGAGAAAATGACTATCTACTTATAGGTCTAGAGCTTAGCGATCGCTATCTCGATACTATTAAGCTCCGTAATATATACAGTAGACTCCTAGAGAGTCCCTAGGTATCGTTGCAGGAAGATACCGTCCTTTAGGGCGACGGCGGAGGCGCCGACCTAGCCCTTATACCTACTTCTATCCGTAAAGGATAGAACTATCGGGCTACAGTTCTATCCTATCGGCCTTCCTCCTCCTTCCTCTTATATTATAGTTATAAAGCTCTCCTAGAAGAGAGACTCTGTCTCGATTCGGTTATACGAGGCTCGCGTAGCCTTTGTATCTTTAATTATATATAGGATCCGTGTCTCCTACGGTAATAGAACGAACGCTTTACGGGTCTCCTAGACCCCCGGGATATTCAGGATTCCTTTTAGTTTCTACCGGTAGGCTTCTAGTAGTCCCTATCCTCTACGCTTAGTAGCCTTAGTCGTATACTTATAGCGTAGGTATTCCGGTTAGGCCTATTTTGGCCCTATTTAGATCCGGATAGCGGTTTCCTCGATTATTTATTCTATTTAGAGCTTAATAGGTAGTAAGAATAGTTCTATATTAAGTGCGGCTGCGCTAGTTGACTTGAATACGCCGGAGATCAGGAGGGCGGTGCGTCGCTAGATCTTAGTATATTCGTTAGTGATCTTTAGCCGTTCTCTATATAGCATCGTTCTTGCCTTAGGGTAATACTACGCGGCAACGCCGTATAATATTTATGGGACTACTATCGCTTAGTAGACCCGCCGTATAGCGTAGAGAGATATACCCTAGGTAGAGCTAGTGATGGCCCGGAGGGCCTCGAGGCTCCCGTTGGCCTTAGCGAGTAGTTTTTGGCGATGTATACTAAATATAAGATACTTATCGAGCCAAATGCCGAGATATTTAGCCTGTTTAACTGGTTAGATCGTCTGAGTTGTGACGCATGGCTTACATAGAGGATTGGTGGAGCGGAGGACTGGTGGAGCTGAGGCTCTGAGGGTTATGTGATAGTTATGTGATCTAGCGCGAGCGCTCACTATAGCTAGTTGATAGCCTCCCCTATAGTTTCTTCCTTCTTCACTTTCGTTGTTTCGTTGAATGTACCTGTTTCCTTTATAGCTGGCTCCTTCGTAATATATAACGAAAGTTATCTTCTTATCTTTCTATCTCTGTTAAAGCCGTACCGACACGAACAGCTCGCTGTCGCCGTCTCGCTTTATAGGACGCCCTACCCCGAACCGAACTAACGAATCCTAAGCGATTCCGACCGACCGAACCGAACCTTCCTTCCCCTGCTAAGATAAGCCGACGTTATAGTACGATCCCGATCGACCGTAGCTCGCCGTTAGCAGAGCACGGCTACCGATAAGCCTTATAACTAGACTATAGAAAACCTGGCTAAAGGTAATAATACGAACCCCGATGAAGCTAGGCCTATCGAAGACTCTCCTGAATAGCATAGACTACGCGACCCTCTCTCGTTCCCTAGTGTAGGAAACGTCGACGTCGACTATATTAAGAATTATACGCCTAAGTAACTTTATGACCTCCTATATCGTGTGTACTATGAAAACTAAGCTCTTATTGCCTAACGGGATGCTATAGGTGCTAAGTATAAGGAATTAGAGCGAGAGCTCGTGACTGCTACTCTTAAGGTAGGTAAACTAGCCTTAAAGGTCGTAGACCTATAAGACTGTATACTGCGAGGACAGCCGCCGAACTATTAGTTAACTCTGATTAAGTCCTCTACGACTAGAGCCTGTTATACTGCGAAGCTCCCTAATCCCCCTCTCCTAAGCGATAGAAAGACTATTTGCTTTACTTACTAGGTGAATTAGATGCGATATAAGTTACGTAGTAATACTAATTATTACCTGACTCCGTCTGACCGAGTCTATTATATATCTACCCGAACTGAAGGAAAAGCCTAGCTGTATATTAGTTCTCGTATAGAAGCGGGAGTAACTAACCCGTATAACGATACGGAAGATATAATCTAATACCTTAAGGGAGTGTTCTCGAACCTAAACCGAGTGGTTAAAGTACTCTATAAATATACTAATCTAACTATAAAGCCGAAGGATGATTTTAATGACTTCCTAGCTGATTTTTCCCGTCTCGCCTAGGAAGCGAAACGACCTAAGTAAGATCGACTTCGGGACCTCTACGGTAAACTGCCGACTTCCCTTTAGACGTAGACGTTATATATACTCGTTAACCCTAATATAAGCTATTAGCACTTTGTTAACCGCTACTAGGCTCTAGCCCTTAGTCTAAATTTAATCTATAAGTAGAAGGAATCTCGCTGCGGCTAAGCTATAACTAGTTCTGGCTCGGGTTCTAGAAATCCTCTTAGTACTACCGCTGCTAATCGTGGACGTACTAGATCCCTTTTTATTAAGCGTAAGGGTACTACTTCGACCTTTAAACCGATAACTGCGGAGGAACGTACTATCTACCTAAAAGAAGGCCGATGTTTTAAATGCTATAAGTAAGGATATATCTCTCGCGACTGCCTAAAGAAACTACCGACCGTTGCTTTAATCGATACTACTACCGAGCTCGCCGCTTACGAAGCTCCTGCCGCTAGTGCTACTCCCGAGTCGGGAAATGCCTAAGCCTAGGGAAAGTCTCCTTCCTAGGTAGTGTGACTATATTACTTTTTATATTAAATCTATAGAAGTTATTAGGAAGAGGAAGCAGTTTATCTTTTAATACCTAAATAGCTTGTAATAGACACTCTTTCTTGATTCGTGCCCTTAGTGATACTGGAGTAGACGGATTTATATATATCGATACGTAGCTAGCGCTGTAAGCCGCGAAGGCCTTTAGATAGCTAGTGATATAATTAGAAAAGGAAGTGCCTACCCGGGGATTCGACGACTACCCGGGAAAGCTAATTACGTATATAATCGAGTTAATATTAATAATTGACGGCTGCGTATAACGCTACCTACTAATATTAATCGCGGATCTTAGTAAGTACGATCTGATCCTCGGACGTAAATAGTTTACGGAGTATAAAGTCCTTCCTAACTGTGCGAAATGACGTTTAATCTAGCCCGAGGAATCTAGTCTATAAGATAAAGTAGCTAGTTAGCTCTCTATTATCCTTCCCTGTACTATCTTATAACGGCCCGATCCGAACTTAGAGTACTAGAGAGATACGGACCGACGCGACTAGCTCTTCGAGAAGGTCGACCGCCTGCTATATTATAAGCTACTAAGGACTACGGCCGGAGACCGGAAGTAGGTACTCGCGAAGATAGAGCGAGCGTTATAAGGCGTATAGCCCTTTTCTTCTATATAGAAAGAACGATAGACCCGGACCCTTTAAATATACGTTCCCCCCTCTAATACTATTATAATAATTAGAGCCGTAGGATTTTATCGATACTTATAGAAAGAAGGTAGTAAGGTCTTCCTAACCTTACTTAAAGAGATTAACCGAATCCTAGAGAATAAGGGACGCGAGCGTCTATCGGAAGAGTAGGAGATTAAGCGTACGATCCCGGAATATTATTATAAGTT